GTGTGACCGTGAGGGCCACAGCAGCCACAAAGGCAGTGGACACAGGTGGCTATGAGGCTGACTCAGACACCACGAGCCGCCCTGTTGCCAGTGACATGAATTAGGCACCAAGTCCTGGAAAGATGCCAAACAAAACAAAGGACAATCTTCTCTCCCATACACAATAGTCTCGTTCCCAGAAAATTCTGTGTATATAAGAAGCATGAAAGATTGCTCTGTGTTTATATATAAACAGGTCACACTCATGCACACACAGATGCACACAGCTATTGTGACCAAAAAGATGTCCTTGCAGATCTCCCAGAGTCCTCCGAGGAGCTGTCCGGCACTTATTCGGTACCATTGTTCTTCGAGCCACGTGTGTGATGACAACCACAAAAAGCAGAGCGTGGCAGCCAACTTCGGGTGGCCAAGAAGGGGGTCAAGAGAACAGATGAGTGGGTCCCAGGGAATGGCGTCAGACCAGAGCTGACTGGAGGTTTGGGGCTGTGGAGACCTTCCCTGAGATGTGATCAGCAAAACATGCCGAACAGGACAAGTACATACTCTGTGAGGGGTTTGAAAGCTGGGCTATAATCCCTCCCCCCATCTTCACACCATCCACAAGTCAGTTATATGAATGGTGAATCATCAATAAAAATGACATTCATAACTCTTAGTCACCAAGCACTGGGACCCGCTATTAAGGACCCATCAAAGGGCCTTCAACAAGAAGGGAGTCAGGACCTGCACTCAACATCATTTATAATGGGGACATTAACAGACTGGGGATGTAGCTTTCTTTTTTTCTTTCTTAATTTTTTAAGACAGGCTTTCTTATGTAGACTTGGCTGTCCTGGACTCACTCTGTAGACCAGGTTGGCCTCGAACTCACAGAGATCCGCCGGCTTGTGCCTCCCAAGTGCTGGGATTAAATGTGTGTGCCACCACTGCCAGGCAGAGGTAGAACTCTTGCTTAGAAAGTCCAAAGCCCTGTGTTCCACCGCCGCCGCCGCCACCCCACCGCCACTGCCACCACCAAAAGCAACAGCATGGGGTGCCAGGTTAATTGAAGTCTAGAAAAAAATAATTCCATGCCTGAGGCCAAGCAGTTTATACTGGCAGAGCGGAGGATCAAACCCAGGGCTTTGATTATACTAGGTGAACACTCTTACCAATCAAGCTATATCCCCAACTGATAAATAAAATAATTTTTAAAGGGCTGGGGCTGTAGCTCAGGGGCACAGCACTTGCCTTGAATATAAAAGGCCATGGGTTCCATCTCCTGCAACAAAGAATAAAATAAAGGACCTGGCATAGTAACAAAGCCTGTAGTCTTAGCTATCCAGCAGGCCAAGGCAGAAGGATTGCTTGAGTCTAAGTATTTGAGATCTTGTTTCAAAATACAATTAACAAACTTTTGTTATCCTGGAAGTTAAACATGCAGATGAGCAAAAAAAAAAAAAAAAAAAAAAAAAAAAAAAAAAAAAAAAAAAAAAAAATAAGGAAACAAAGCTGTCATTCTGCGCCCCTGGTGAGTCTTACTGTAAACATCTTACTGTCTGGCCTCCTTTTATGAATGTGAATGTTTTAATCAACATGAGAGCCTACTGTCTGCTGTCAATAACAGCTCCAGCCTCTTCCTGCCAACCTAACTACTGTAACATGAACCTTAAAAGGTCTTATTAATAAAATCAAACCTGAAGCCAGGTATTGGGGTAAATACTGGAAGATCAGAGAAGCAGAGCAATCCACAGCTAACCTCACCTGGCCAATTCCTTAGCTGATCCTGTTTCCTCAGACTGTAAGCCTGTGTCCTCATCCAAATGGATCTCAGCTGAACTGCTGCTAAAAGCTTAAAAGGCTTAACCAGGCTCTAGTTCCTGGTCCTCACACCTTATATACCTTTCTGCTTCCTGCCATCACTTCCTGGGATTAAAGGCGTGTGTCACCATGCCTGGATGTTTCCAGTGTGGCTTTGCACTCACAGAGATCTGGATGGATCTCTGCCTCCAGAAGGCTAGGATTAAAGGCATGTGTGCCACCATTTTCTGGCCTCTATATCTAGTGGTTGTTCTGTTCTCTGACCCCAGATAAGTTTTTTAGGGTGCACAATATATTAGGGTGCACAAACTACATCTTTCTTCTTTAAAAAAAAGTATCTATTGAGTGGTGGTGGCACACACCTTTAATCCCAGCACATGGGAGGCAGAAGCAGGCAGATCTCAGTGAGTTTGAGGCCAGCCTGGCCTACAAAGTGAGTTCCAGGACAGCTAGGACTGTTATACAGAAAAACCCTGTCTCAAAAAAAAAAGTACTTATTTGATTAAAAAAATTTGTATGTGTTTGTGTGTTTATTTCTCCATGTATGTGAGCCACGGATGCTCAGATGCCATGGAGACCAGACCAGTCCCCTGGAGGCCAGACCGATCCCCTGGAGACCAGACAGATCCCCTGGAGGCAACACGGAGCCCCTGAATCTGGAGTTGCCGACAGTTGGGAGACAGCGGATGTGGGTGTTGGGAACTTTAACCCTGGTCTTCAGGCTTTGGGCTTGCCAAGCAAGCTCTCTTAAGAGCCAAGCCCCTCCCTAACCCTCATCTGCGTCTTTCCACTCCACGGTCCACACCCAAGTTCCCTCGTTGTCCCCAGTATCCCTCAGGCTGGTTGCTGGGAGTATGGGTCCTCTTGACACCACCAGGCCTCCAGCTGGGTGCCCTCAAATCTCAGCCTCACCAGTCCCTGTGTTATGAAGATCTGGAAGGACTAAGCTAGCTGTGTCATGGGCGTCTGGGCTTGCCCGTGAGGGGTCATTATTGTGATTTTGTTAATTGATGTGGAAAGAACCCTTTTGCAGTGGGCAGGACCATTCCCAGGCTGGGAGCCTGGACTGCACGAATCAGGGGACTGGGCAATAGCATGCTCTCATCTCCATCTCTTACTGTGATGTGACCAGCTGCTTCAAATTCTTCCTGCCTTGATTTCTCCGTCATGGAGGACTGTACTTGGAACTGTGAGCCAAGATCAACCTTTTCTCATGTAAGTTGCTTTTGTTAAGAGTATTTTAATCAGTGACAGGAAATGAAACAGCCTCGCTTTGGGACTGACTTATCCTGGTGGCATCCTGTCATTTTGTTCCTTTCATCCCTTGTCTTCTATATTTCCAGGCTCAAGCCAGGGCATCGGTCACTATGACAACTATCTGACACAATTTAAGGGAAGAAAAGTGGGTTTGGGCTCACGGTTTTGGAGGGTCCAGTTTATGGTGAGGCAAAGCAGGTTCGTGGCACCTGGCGTGCGTGATGGTGACTGTTGACATGGGACAGACCAGGAAGCAGAGAGAGCTAGATGGGAAATGGGGGTGTGTACTCTTCAAAGGCCCGCCCTAGTGGCCCACTTCTGTCAGCCAGGCCTCACCTCCTGAGGACTCCACAGCCTTCAAATAGAGCCACAAGCAGGGGCCTGACCATTCGAAACGTAAGCCTATAAGGGAACATTTTAGTTTCAGATACAGGCATAGGGCTGTTATTCCAGCTACCTGGGAGGCTGAGCAAGAGGAGCATGAGTTCAAGACCAGCCTGAGCAACCTAACAAGCCCCTGACTCTAATTAAAATAGAAAATAGAGGTCTGCAAAAGTAGCTTAGTGATAGAGTACAAGGGCCAGGCTTCTATCCCCAGTACCGGGGAAAAATAACCCCACAAACCAAACACACATATACATAGCAATCAGATTGGTGGGGTCTCCCACCCACATGTCACATTCCTGGGTGAGGCAGAGTTAGAGAGACAGTGTCATGTGGGACTGGGAGGCATGTCCCAGCTGGGAGGCTCTTCACACTTCTTGCTTGGGTTTTACAGCACAGGAACTGAGGACCCAAGAGCAGTCTCTGAGTCCTTGAATCCTTGCTGTTTAGCAAGAGTCTTTTTTTTCCCCATCCCAACCCCCACAGGGGACATCTGTACAGGCCCAAGATACATGAGACTATGAGTCTCATTTCAAGGAAACCGACTCCCAGAGCAAAGTGACCAGAGTTAGGACATTCTCTCTGTTTCCCCTGAGCCTAGCTCAGTGCTCTGCCATCCTTCTCCATCAACAGAGCCCCCCCTCCCCACCCCCACTCCCGGCATATGGCTTTGGAGCCCTCTGGGCCTAGCCTAGAGGTCAGGCCCTGGGCACACTGCTCTCCAGAGAAAGCCCTGTGCCTCTCCTTGCCTTTTAGAGACCAGCTTTGCACTGGCGTGGGATTGTGGACACAGATGTCAGGGCCCCCAGGATCTGCCAGCTCAGCAGGGCTCAGGCTCCCCTTGGGAAGGAGGGGCCTTGCTACAGGCAGCAAGAGGACCCTGGACAGGAGGCTCTGACCCACTTCCCAGCAGCATCCCCCTTTCACTTTGGAGTAAACTGAGTCTCCGAGTCTGGAAGGCAATTCCAGGACACACAGGTCAACCCAGGGAACTTGCTCCTCCTCTGACCAGCCAATCTCAGGGTGGTCCCCATGGACCAGCCAGTCCTCAGCCCAGTTCAAAGCTCCCTGACACAAAGGGGGCACTAGCTTTACACGATTGAGTGTTCTTCCTTCCGACCTACCATGCTATTCCTACACTCAGCTACTCCATGGTTGCCAGATGTGAGCCAAGCATGGAGACATGGTTCATAAGGACCCGAGTTCAGGTCCCAGAACTTACTTTAAAAAGGCCAGACATGACAGTGCTTGCTTGTAATCCCAACGCGGGGGAGGTGGAGACAGGAAGGTCTCTGGGGCTGGATGGCCAGTCAGACAACCTGCTTGGTGAGTTCCGGGCCAGTGAGAGACGCTATCTCAAAGGGAAAAAAAATGGTGGCTGGTACCTGAGGAACAACACCTGAGGTTGTCCTCTGACCTCTCTCTCTCCACACACACACACACACACACACACACACACACACACACACACACACACACAAGTGAATAGTTATATCAGTTACTTTTCTGTTGCTGTGATAAAACACCTTGCTAAGTCAATGTATGGAAGAGTTTATTTGATTATGGTTACAGAGGCATCCAAGTCCATGATAGCCAAGCAGAAGCACAGCAACAGAGTGCAGACGTGGTGGCAGGAACAGAAAGCTGAGAGTTCAAACAGAACCGAAAACACAAAGCTGAGAGAGCAAACCGGAAGTGTCGATAGGGTTTTATCTCGCAAGGCATCCCCAGTGATGCTGTGGTCCCCGCAACAAGGCTGCACCTCCTCTACCTCCCCAAACAGTGCCACCCACGGGAGACCAAGTGTCCAAATGCCCAAGACCATGAAGGACCTTTCTCATTCAATCCACCACAGTAGTGGAGGCAGAATATTGGTCAGTACATCTCTCTTTACTTCAGCTCCTAAGAATGATAAGAACTGGGGCTGAAGAGATGGCTCAGAGGTTAAGAGCATTGGCTGTTCTTCCAGAGGTCCTGAGTTCAATTCCCAACAACCACAGGGTGGCTCACAACCATCTGTAATGAGATCAGATGCCCTCTTCTGGCATAAAGGTGTACATCCATATAGAGCACTCATACATACATAATAAATAAATCTTGTAAAAAATGGTAAGACCCTGGCTAGTTATTGAGAGAACTGTGTGGGCGGAGTGCATCCTGCTTCTCTGATGGTTACTGTGGACCACATCCTGCTCTGTGCATCTTGTACAGAGATTTTTTAATCTGCATAGCACAAGCATCTATTGTTATTATTGTCCCCTTCTACAGATAAGGAAACTGAGGCCCAGGGAAGTTTAGAGGCCTATCCAAGGCCACATAGAAGATGAGATGGAGTTAGGGTGTTTAATTTTGAAATATTGGGGTGCAGAATCTCTAGCCTTAGATTGAGACTTGGCCACACCCTCAAAAGGCTAGCTGTGATCACTGGGCACCAACAGGGAAAGCCAGGTTCAGTCACTCTGTGCCCTTGGGCTCAGCCGTTAAATTTTTCTGAAGTAAAAAATCATTAAGGCCGAGTATCTACCTCCAGCCTACTAAGATGTGTATTAGGTAGCCAATGCCGCAATGGTGCTGTGTAACCAGCATCTCAAAGTTGAGTGCTTGGAAAAGTGATCCAGTATTCTCGCCCTCTGCAGCACAGTCTGTCGTGACTTTGTGACTCTGCTCCAGGAAGAGTGTGTCGGTCAGCTTTTCATTTCTGTGAAAAAGGCCTGAGAGACAGGTTTCAGGACAGAAGTTTCTTTGGCTCGTGGTCTCAGAGTTTTGGCCCATGGTTGGCCGGATTTACTGCTTTGGGATCACAGCGAGAAAGAACAATATGGCCATAGGAGAGTGAGGAAGAACCCGCTGTTCACCTCTAGGAGACAGGAAGAGGCCACTGGAGGCAGGGCATCCCCCTTAGTTAGCCCACTCTGAAATGTCCTTCCAGATGCATCCAGAAGAGAGCTGGCTAATCCCTTCAGAGCTTCTCAGGTCACCACGGCATCCGGCACAGCACAGGGTCCCGTCTCTTCCCGTGGTCCTGTGTCAGCCAATAGTGTGCACATGTGCATGCACAAGCTTATTGTGGAGACTGACTCACATGACTCTGGAGGCCAGAATCCCACTGTGTGTCCCCTGCAAGCCGCTGCCCCAGAGAAGCTGGTGGTGTGCTTTAGCCTGTGAGCAAAGGAACAAGAATCAGGAGCGTGGATATCCAAGAGGAGGACAAAATGTCAGCCTGGCTGAAGAGAGAGCTCACCCTCCCCCGCCTTTCCTTCAGTCCAGGCCCTTGGAGTACTGGCTGCTGTCCACCCCCACAGGGAGGGTGGCATGATGGTCAATCTTGATTATCAATTGACTTAGAGTCACCATGGAGACAAACCTCTGAGCATGTCTGTGAGGGACTTTCCAGATTAGGTTCATTGAGGTGGGAAGACACACCCTGAATGTGGACAGCATCATTCACGGGCTGGTGGCCTGGGCTGAATAGAAAGAGAACATGAGCTGAACACCAGCGTCCATCTCCCTCTGCTTCCTGACTCTGGAGGCAACGTGACCGGCCCCTCACTCTCCTTCCTCCATGATTTCCCCACCACAGTGGTCCGTTCCCTCAAACTGTGAGCCAGAATAAACTCTTCCTTTCTTTTTTAAAAAAGATTTTATATATATATATATATATATATATATATATATATATATATATATATGCTCTATCTGCATGTACACCTTTATTCTAGAAGAGGGCATCAGATCCCTCTACAGATAGATGTGGGTAGATACAGATCTACCCATAGATAGATGGCTGTGAGCCACCATGTGGTTGCTGGGAATTGAACTCAGGACCTCTGGAAGAGCAGCCAGTGCTCTTAACGGCTGAGCCATCTCTCCAGCCCCAAACCCTTCCCTTCTTAAGTTGCTTTTGTTGGATATTTTGTCAAAGAAACAAGGAAAGTAACTACTATGGGTGGTCACCTAGAGAGTGCGATGCTAATCTCTTCCAGAGGCACCCTTCCAGACACACCCACCAATTATGCCTGTCAGTTATCTGGGTGTGTCTTAGCTCAGTCCAGTGCACCCCTACAATGAACCATCCCAGGCACAGACTGATGGGCAGCAGCCATGTGGGACCTGTCTAGCCTCTTTCCACCTCTCAGCTCGGTACAAACTGCATAATAAGATCAGAGTCGAGGGATTGAGGGAAAATCCAACCTCCTACAAAGCCTTGGCCAAGGGACTAGGTGTAATGGCACTCTAGGGCCGTGGAGAAATGGGATCAAGTCTGACAACTACCACAGTAGGGATGTGTTTAGGGCTGTACAGGTCAGCCTGTGGCTGAACATCAGGCATGGAATCTCTAGAAGCTGAAGAAGTCTCGGGCCCCTTCGTGTGTGTGTGTGTGTGTGTGTGTGTGTGTGTGTGTGTGTGTGTGTGTGTGTGTGTTTAGGACAACCTCAGGCATGGTTCCACAAGCACTATCTATGTACCTTGGTTTTTGGCAGTGTCTCTCGGTGTCCTGGAACTCACCGAGTAGGCTAGGCTGCCTGGCCAGTGAGCCTCACAAACTCTGACAGCACGTGTTTGTTCCACGCCTGCCTTTTTTTTTTTAAATGTGGGTTCTGGGGGTGGAACTCAGACCCTCATGCTCTCGAGGCAAGTGCTTTGTTGACTGAGCCACATTCCTTGCTCCTGGACACCTTATAATGGGAGAAGCTCCCCGGATATTAAAAATCAAGGCATGCTAACACGGTTTACAATAATTGCGGCATAGATTTAGATGTTTACATTTAGCAAATTAATGCTCTTAGCACACACGCAAATTGCCAAGCAATATAATTATGCTATTCACAAGAAAATTACAGGATTTTAAAAATTATTAATTACTGGAACACACTGGGCAGTGGGGTCCAGCAATGGGTCATGGGTATGATGGTTTCTGATGAATGTCTTCATTTGTTCTGGCTGGGGTCCTCATCCCGGGGTGATGACCTCCTTTGGATATGGTGTCCAGATTCTAACCCCAAAGCTTTCCTTATGTGCTAGACATTATTGGGATGCTTTCTTAAAACCTTGGTGCCTGGGGTCACCCCCAGAGTCCTAACTTAATAGGGAGATTGTTCTTAACGTTGTCCTCAGTGTCAATACTTTTTATTTTCTCCAAAACTCACAGGGTGATTTTGATGTTCCATCAGTCAGAGTGGAGGACCCCTGGATCAGCAGATGGGTAGGTCTAAGCCAATCTGGGATAACGAAATGTAAGTCAAAACTCATTTATGGTTTTGGGGTGAACATCCTCCTCATTGTTGAAAGATAATCTTGGAAAGCAGCATCTCTCATTTGCAGGAACAGAATAAGGAAGCATTCTGCCTGGCTGCCCCTGGTGGCCACCGCACAGTCACCAAGGAAGCCATGGGATGTAAGGAAAGCAGAGAGACAGGGGAGCCTTGACCACACCACACTTGAAGTCTGCCAACCTTCCGTATGTGAACCGACAAACTCTCCTCTTCCTGAACCTGTCAGTCTCCAATAAGGCACTTCCTGCACCCGCTGTTGTGAGGGTCAGGTGAGAGATTCCATGTGAAATGCTCAACATGGCACTTTATGGTGATAGATGTGAGCTCTGAGGACCGGGTAGGAAGGACAGGACTGAGGCTTCATTGTACCAAAGAAGCTCCAGGGGTTGCTGCGTTGCCGAGCTTGGGCCTTTGGCCTGAGTATCGCAGGCACTTGATAATATCTGCCCAGTGGGATGGGTGCTTTATGCTTTCATTTCCCTTTGCCTAATGCTCTGATCTCTGCCAGATGCCAAGGAGGGGAATAATCTGATTATCTGATTAAAGTAATATGGCCCTCTCACTAGCCGCTCCAAGCTTAAGCCACCAGGGCAGATCTGTGTGGGTTAAGAGGCTTACCATCTAAGGAGTGAAGTAAGCAGGCAGGGAGAGCAATTCACTAAGCAAGTGCCTCCCAAGTGCTTACTCTGTGTCTGGGGACCTAAGTTCAATCCCTAGAACCCACATAAATATGGAAGGAGAGAACTGACTCCACAAAGTTGTCCTCTGAGCTTCACATGCACACTGTAGCATGTTCTCTCTCTCTCTCTCTCTCTCTCTCTCTCTCTCTCTCTC